ATTTTAACCAAAGGCAATGTTAAAATATCACTTTGGAATATTAAATTCACTGTACTCTAAATTTATTTTAACTCCCTACTACTGTGTGGCATCCACACTAATAGTGTTGCTTTTCCCAAGTACACACACACACACACACACACACACACACACACACACACACACACATACACACACAAGTAGCCTGCCCACCAAAACCTGAGGAGGTCAAAGTTGTTCATATCTATTAGGGAATGAAGGCTGGGTAAGCCAGGGCTCTTGCTCATATGCTTGTTCTCTGATTAGATGTCCTTTGTGTATTTTATGTGACTAATTATGTGGATACATGCATCATCATATTTACCATCATAAGATAAAATTTGAAAGATTTCCACACAAAGTCCTCCTGTGCTGCTGGTAATTCTGATACAATAGGCACAAAAATTTGTAGAAACATCACTTCTGTTCTAGCATGAGCCCTTTAAAAAGTTCCATTGTCAAAGTGTGTGGGGAAGATGAATGAAGAGAATAATGAGGGGGAATGCAGCCATACTCTTCAATGCATATCCTTGAAGTAGGAGAACTGAGGGAAGGAATTGCATTGGGAGGGAAGGAACAAAATGATGAAAGAAGTGACATCAATTGATCAACTGATTTTTGAATGATAACAACTACTTAAAGATAACAAAATTTAAGCTCAATTGAGATAGAAAGTCATGACACTAGAAATTGATTTGACAAGGGTTTAAACAAAACTCCTCCAATTTGCCAAGAACTTTCTACAGTATGGATTTATCTCAACAATGAACCCATCTCTACATGTATAATGTTTCTTATAACATTAGACAATTGCAGCTATACACTTAAGTCTGACTAGGGAGGCAGACATTTAGTCTCAGAAAACAGAAAACCTAACCACAGTGACTTATGACAGAAGATTATTTTCTTGTCATAACATGTAGCCTTACGATGGGCCATCAGAGCCACTGTCAACCACCTAAGGGATCCCTCTGTCTTCTTGCTCTGCACTCTTTACCAGGTAGCTTTTGTTTCCAAGGTTGTGGCAACTGCTCTTGTATCCCAGATCTGTGTCTATTAATAGACAACTCAGCTGCATTGCAGACAGGAAGAAGGGCAAAGGGGAAGAAAGGGATGATGAGTGAAATGCAATTACATGCTTCAAGCAGCTTTCCTTTTCAGTAAATGTCTCCACTTATTTGCTACTCTTTATCTTCCTTTTCATGGAATTAAAAGCCTGTGTATCTGAGGATGACTGATCCAGTCTACACATGAGGATTTCGGAATTGCCTTTTTTTCCACAGTCATTTAGCATATCCCAGCCATGCCCTGCTGGGAAAATGACTAGCCATGGCTTTCAACATGACAATTTGTCATTGTAAATAAGATAACATTAGTTCTGTAATTCTTAATGTACCATAAAAATGACATGCCATCTCTCTTACCAGCAAAGAATTCATCATCAGTGGGAGAATGTGGACATTAGTGTAGCATCATCATTCAGCAAGGTATATGTACTTGACATATATGTCTTCTTTCTTTGAGTAAGTTGTATATGCCCTCTTCACTGCAAGATTGTCACCTTCCTGAGATATCTGAAGGTATCATTTTGCTTATACTGGTGACTTCACAGTAATACTAAGGTATCTTCCTAAATGATTGCTTGGCATTGCTAGAAGAGAGAGAAAACAATCGAAACACAATTACTGACAGGACACCGTGAATTATGTGCTGTGTGTCAGTACAAATGTGAATGATAAAATACCTGTACACGGGTATTCATAGATATGATAAGTGAAAATCATAGCCTACATTTCCAAATATGTGAGAAAAAAGAATATTTTTAATTTCCCAATTTAGTTTCTACTTGGACATTGAGCAGTTAAGACAGGTTGGCCTCAGATTTTATGAGCTTCTGCTCATCAGTGACCAATGTTGTGCCTGGTGTCAGGATCCTATAAAACAACAAGGAATGGAGAAATTGAGGAAAATTCCTTCCTTAGCCAGCCATCCACACAACTGGCTGGGGGAGAATGTCCCCATCCCAGCAGAAGAGCTCCCTCCTTCAGTTCAGCTGTAGCTACTTTTCCTGAGCTGTGCTTGTGATGCCTCCTCCTCTGCCTTTCTCTCTACTCACCATTTTTCCTAGGTCCAGGTAAATCTTTCCCTTGCCTAGAGGTGGGAAATTCCATACTTTCCAGGATTTCTGGCAAGACTTTTTAATCTATGCTCCAAATCCTCTCACCTGCTCTGGGATTAAACGCTTAAATGCCACACTAAAAACGTTGATATCAGCAAAGCATTTGATTAGAAGTGTCAGAGTGCTTCTCTTCAACAGCAAAGAACTTAAGAGAAATACATACAGATATTTCCTTGGAGTATTTGAGGCAGAGCATTAGAACACAGCAGGAACAAGACATGGACACCACACAGGATGGAAATACACAGTGGTCTTACATAGAAGGGAGATCTCCCTTGATCTAGGAGGATGTCACTGAGAAGGGAAGGGTAAGCAGGAGACCTCTGGCCCTTTCCTTCACCTCAAAAATACCTGAGACCTATACTACTGGAAAACCCTAAGGCCTTCTCAGGCACTAGTTCTTGTCTGAGAAGCTTCTCATTGCTTTGCTCCAGAGAAAAAGCCTAGCCCACACTGTGCCTTCCGCACATTTGGGGTCCTGGAAAGCAGCCCAGAAACTGCCCCCAGTAACTCTGATAACACAGATCAAGCAATCATCCAAAAAGCAGCACCTTTCCTTCCTCAATCCTGGAAGCACCTGGGCAGCCACTCTGAGTGGCTGAGCAGAAAGTCCCCAGAAGACAGCTGAGTTGCCTCACCCCCCCTTCCTTCTGCCGGAAACATCCAGGCAACCCTGCCCATCCATCCTTGAGTGGCCCTGTGCACACACTCAGCTCCAGAAAGTAGCTGGGCACCAAGCTTTTAATAGCTGGGTCCACTGACATATAGGGAAGCAAATGAGCAGCCCTACCACTTCTCCTATGGCTCCAAGAAGTACATGACACATCTGGTCTCAGAAGCTTAGCTCACTGAGGTCCTAGGAAGTAGCTGCTTGACCCACCCTCAGCCCTAGAGATAGCTGGTGGGAGACGGGGCACGTGTTGATGATGTCAACTAACCAAGCAAAATAGAGAGGAGATCTAAACAATTTGAAATGTAAAAGGAGATACTAAAATACAAAAGATTGTTAGAGACTATTATGATCAACTGCATACCAAGACAGTGGAAAACATAGGTGAAAATGTACAGATTTCTGATACATGTAACTTATCAAAAATTGAACTATAAAGACAGAAAATCTGAGTAAGGTAAAAGCAAATAATGATGTTAAATTAGAAATAAAAAGTCTCCCAACAAAGAGAATCCCAGTATTTGGTGGCTTCACTGCTGAATTTTACCCAATTTTTAAAGAACTAATGTTAAGCCAGGTAGCTCATGCCTGCAATCCTAGCTACTCAGGAGGCTGAAATCTGAGGATCATGGTTCAAAGCTAGTCTGGGCAGAAAAATCCAAAAGTTATCTCCAATTAGCTAGCAAAATGCTGGAAGTGGAGCTAAGTTCAAGTGGTAGAGTGCCACTCGAGCAAAAAAAGCCAAGCAAGAGTGTGAGGCCCTGAGTTCAAGCCTTTGCAGTATCAGTGCATACATACACGCACACACATGCACACACACACACACACACACACACACACACACACACACACAAACTAATGTCAATTCTGAAACTAGTATAAAGTATTTGTGATGACTGATCCTGGTTCTCCACTTGATTAGATTAAGAAATGCATAGAGCCCAGCATAGGTAACTTAGAATCCTAGCTACAGCTACTCAGGAGGCTAAGATCTGGGGATCAAAGTTCAAAGCCTGCCCAGGTAGGAAAGTCTATACATTCTTATCTCCAAATAACCAGCCAGAAGCCAAAAGTGAAGCTGTGGCTCTAGTGGTAGAGTACTAGCTTTGAGCAGAAAGCTCAGGGACAGCACCAAATCCTGGGTCAAGCTCTAGGACCAACACCAAAAAAAATACTGAAAGTGAAGGAGCACCTTCCCTGCCATCTGATAAGACTGTACATTACCTTGATACTAAAACTAGACACAAGAGTACAACAAAATCTACAGACCAATTAGGCACCAGTGGCTTACATGTGTAATCCTAGCTACAAAGAAGGCTGAGAAGTAAAGATCATGGTTCAAAGCTACCCAAGCAAGAAAGTTTGTGTGGCTTTTATTTCCAATTACCTACCAAAATAAAGCCAGGAGTACAGCTATCGATTCAAGTGGTGTAGTGCTAGCCTTGAGCCAAATCTAGCTCAGGGACAGCATCCAGGCCTTCAGTTCAAGCCCCAGAACTGGTGTGTGTGTGCGCACACACACACACACACACATTCCAAGAAATAAATTTAACCAAGGAAGTAAATGATCCCTACAATGAAAACTGCAAAGTACTGATGGGGAAATTGAAGAAGATACAAAAAAAAAATGTGGAAAGATGTTTCATATTCATGGAATGGAAGAATTAATACTGTTAATATTAGCCAAGGTGATCTACAGATCATTGAATCTTCAATGAAGCATCTATCAAAATACTAATGACATTCATCACAAAAATAGAAAAAAAAATCTAAAATTTGTACAGAACCGAAAAAAGGCTCTAAGTAGCCAAAGCAATCCTGAGCAAAAAGAAAAATTTGGAGATAGTTCAGCACCAGACTTCAAAACATACTACAAAATAATAGTAACCAAAAACAGCATAGTACCAACATAAAAACGGACACCTAAAGCAATGGAACAGCAAAAGGAACCAATAAATATATCCATATATTTAGAATCAAGTGATTTTCAACAAAGGTAGCACAAGAAAATACATTAGAGCAATTTCTTCAATAAATGGTGCTTGGAAAACTGCATACTCATATAGAGACCAGACTCCTCTATACATAAATATAACTGCTATGAAACCAGAAAACAAAAACACAGACCATTACTACAGGAAAGGTCTCAGATTGCTGAGCAGCCAAGACGTGTGACTTCACCGAAGACCAGACCACAGAATTCAAGGAGGCTTTCCAGCTGTTTGACTGAACAGTTGAGGGCAAGATCCTATACAGCCAGTGTGGGGATGTGATGAGAGCCTTGGGCAAGAACCCCACCCGTGCTGAGGTGCTCAAGGTCCTGGGGAAGCCCAGGGGTGATGAGATGAATGTAAAGGTGCTGGACTTAGAACACTTCCTGTCCATGCTGCAGACTATGGCCAAGAAGAAGGACCAGGGAACCTATGAGGATTATGTAGAAGGCTTCCAGGTGTTTGCCAAGGAAGGGAATGGTACTGTCATGGGCACTGAAATCTGTCATGTATTCATCACAGAGCATGAGGACAGCAATGGCTGTATTAACTATGAAGAGCTTGTCCGGATGGTGCTGAGTGGCTGAAAACCTTCCCAGTATCTCTAAGCCTGTGCCTTGCCCAGTGTGAGATTTTTGTGTGCCCTTAGAGGTTTCCTAGGTCCCTTGTCACAGTGTACCTTGCCCAACTTGTCTCTTGGATGATGTTTGCCATCAGCACTCACCAAATAAATTTACTCTCTTTGCCCCACCTCCTGCAAAAACAAAACAAAACAAAAAACTAAAATACAGGGAAGATACTTCAGGACAACAATCAAAGCAAGAATGATATGACTTCCAAAACTCAGGTAACAAAAGCATAATTTGGTAAGTGAAATTACAACCAACCAAAATGCTTCTGTATAGCAAAGGAAACAATAAATGAAAGGACAGTATCCAAAAATGGGAGAAAATATCTGCAAACTACTCAGTTGACAAGGGATTCATTTCCAGACTGCTTAAGGAAGCCAAACAACTCAACAGCAAATAGCAACAACAACAACGATCCAGTTTAAAGTTGAATGTTAATGAGGCCAACGTGCAGGGTAATAGGAGCATAATTTCTAATAGTCCAAAGCATACCAGCATTAATTATGGTTGGTAATGATTTGCTATTTCAAAATAACTAGAAGAGGGGATTTTGAATGTTCCCAGCACTAAGAAATTAGATGTGTTGGGAGTGTCCAGCCCGCTGCTGGCTGGTTCCAGGTGAAGTGCTGGAGGAGCATTGCCACCACCCAGGCTGAGAGCCCAGAACCAGTCAGCAGAGGAGAGAGGAAAAGAAGCTCCAAGGGCAGGGAAGAGCATTTTTGAGAACACAAATTCCACATTTCAGTTCAGTTCCTATGTCCTCCCCTGAAATAGTTTCCCTCTCAGGGGACAAATGAAAGTACAAGGTTCTACCAAAACCTGTAAGGATTATAACATTTGGCCAGGTGGTAGCTGAGCTTGGGATTGGAGAGAAAGAGGAACTGAGCACTCTCCTGGTGTGCAGCCTGCGATGTAAAGGAAGTGGCTGAGATGGGTGTACAGACCCTAGTGATTGGCTGAGGGATGAGTGAGGCCTTAAAGGGGCCCCCATCCACTGTGGAGTACCTCGAGAAACAAGGCATTGATGTGCAGGTCCTCCAGACAGAGCAGGCAGTGAAAGGCTATAATTCCTTGGCTGCCAGAGGGGTCAGGTGGGAGGTGTCTTCCATTCCACCTGCTGGTGAAGGCTTAAGAAGGGAATAAAGCATGAAGCAATACAAAAAAGAAATGATATGCGTCTGAGGCGATAGATATGCCAATTAGTCTGATCTGACCATCACACATTGTATACAAAATATTAGAGTATTACATTGTACCCATAAATGTGTATAATCACTATGTCAATTAAAATTAAAATATAATGAGCTGTATATTAGTGGCTCATGCCTGTAATTCTATCCACTCAAGAGGGTGAGATCTGAACATCACTGTTAGAAGCCAGCTCTAGACAAGAAATGTACTCTTTACCTTACTCATGTAACTACAGCCCCTCTGCACAGCATCTTTACAATAAAATAAAATTAATAAAAAGAAGACAGCTCAGGCAGGAAAGTCTAGGAGACTCTTACCTACAATTAACCAGCAAAAAGCCAGAAGTACGAGTGTGGGTCAAGTGATAGAGTACCAACTTTGAGTGAAAAAGCAAAACAAGAGCACAAAGCCCTGAGGTGCTCCAGTAACAGAACACAAAAATGAATAGTAGGCTGGATGCCAGTGGCTCATCCTGTAATCCTAGCTTTTCAGGAGGCTGAGAGCTGAGGATCGCAGTTCAAAGCCAGCCTGGGCAGGAAAGTCCGTGAGACTTTTAGCTCCAATTAACCACCAGAAAACCAGAAGTGGCACTATGGCTCAAGTGGTAGAATGCTCACCTTGAGCTGAAGAGCTCAGAGCCAGTGCCCAGACCCAGACCAAAAATAAAGCTATAATTAGTTAATTAAAAGATTAATTAATTAAAAAAATTCTGAATGTCATTGAGCCAAATTACCTAGTTAAAACTGATAGAGATAAAATATCAAAAGTTAATGTAAAAAAAATCTCATGGCATGTACCACATGTTCTGTAATTGTATATATTATAAATGAGAGAAAAGGTGTGTGTTTTTAAATTTTAAAACTATTGAATCAAAGGAAAAATTTGACAATAGACTATGTTTTTGCCAAGCTTTTTGCCTCTTATATTTTCTTCAGAAGTAAAATAAGATAGACTAAAGAACTTGTGCCTTGCTCCAAATAGTCTTAATTGAACTGAGATTTAAGTTATATAAGGATACATAAAAAATAAACAGGAAATTACAACAATTCAAATATACCACAATGTGTGGGGATATAATCCAAATAGCGTATGGTGATGTTAAGCAGGAAGACTCATAATAATTAGCATTTGTAAATCGTTTCCCATTTTGCTTGCATGTATAATTTAATTTGATTCTCACAATAGCTCTGGAAAGTATCGTGTGATTTCTGTTTTACAGATGAGAAAAAAAATGCAATTCCCAAATTAAGTCACTTCTCCAAATTTACACAATTAGTGAAAGACAGAGTAGAGATTCTTATTAAACGTTCCCCAATATGGACTCTAAGTCTCTAAGATAGAAGGTAGAGAGTAAGTGTGTTATAGAGAGATATACTTTGCATAATTGAATATTTTGTATAGAACTCTGGACTGGTTGGTTGAATTGCTTAATATAGTGGTTCTAACTTGAATTTTACCAGACTCTGGGCTGAGTCCCCCAGGGAATGATGTTTGTAAAGATCCTAGGATGATTCTAATCAGTAGCCAGGACTGGGAAGGCTGGGTTTTGTTGCTAATGTTCCTTCCTAAACAAAGAGGTGTGCTGAGGTTCAGAGGGAGAGGAAGCAAGCCTCTGGGTGGGCAAGGAGGGGCCTGAAGAAGGGAGGCAATCAGTGCCAAGGAGAAAACTAGCTTTAAGCTTCACTAAATCTACAATAGTGTACTGTTAGGTTCAATGTTTTAAGACCTTCAAAGAAAGCTTTAGAAGGATTTATTCCTGGTGTGTTAATGTTGATCAATAATTCTGTAGCTAACAGAAGGATGAGAGGCATCTGTGTTTCCATAATCCATAATAGGGAAGAAGGAAGTGATCTCAGACACCCTTGACCTTTGAGTATCTTAAATCCTGAGGGGGGGCGGGTGTGGGCATAGAAGGGTTTATGCAGACCTAGAATAAAGGCAGCTTTAGACTGAGCTTTAGAACAGTCCTTGAAAGGATGAAGCTTATTTGCAAAAGACTTATCTGATACAACAACGCTCAATAATAAGAGAAGACAATGAAGTCTACACATTTAACAACTTAATAGTGCATCTTATTAAAAATTATTCCAAAGGTAAAGAAATAGAAAGTGAAAGAAAAGTCAAGCAATAGAATTGTAATCCAATCATGAAATTAGTAAAGACTTTAAAACAGCTGCTATTAGGGCTAGGAAGTTAGCTCAGTGGTAGAGTACTTGCCTTGCTTGCACAAGGCCCTGGGTTTGATTCCTTAGCACTATATAAGCAGAAAAAATCTGGAAGTGGCACTGTGGCTCAAGTGGTAGGGCTCTAGCCTTGAACTGAAGAGCTGAGGGACAGTGCCCAGGCCCAAAGTTCAGCCCACACAACTGACAAAAAAAAATCTGCTATCAATATATGCAAGGATTTAAAAGAAATATCAACATAAGCATCAACATGTGTTGATGCTCACAAAAGAAACCAAAAAAGAAATCAAATGACATTTCTGAGGCTGAAAAATACACCATCTGAGGTAGAAAAATATACTAGATAAGTTTAACTGTGGATTAGATGTTACAAAAGAAAATATCAGTGAAGTTGAAGAAATAGAGTTAGAAATTAACCAACAGATATATAGTACACACAGAATAAAAAAGAATGTGAATATATCCTCAGAAACTCAGGACAATGGCATGTTAACATATGTATAATTTAAATCTCAAGGTATGTGAGGATAAAATGAACATTTCCAAATTTGATGAAAATTACAAACTCAGAGAACCAAGAGAGAATAGACCCCAAAGCATGTTCTACAATGTATGACTTTAACAACTAGTGCTGACTGATGTGAGTTACCTGAGAATGCAGCGGCCATTTTGGACATGCTTACCTGACCAGCTGGGAAGGTGGCACCCAGAGACTCATACTGGGAGCTGGTAAAGAACTCATAGTAAGCAGATCAGCAATAGTAAAATTGGAACAATGTAAAATTGAAGACTAGAGCCAAAGACATACCATTCATTACCAATGAGGGAAAAGGATATAATTAGAAGGTAGAGTTGGATTTCCTGGATTAGGTAGGCTGGTTAATTTCTAATTGCACTGGGCACTTGGGTGGCTGTTGTGGTTCGAAATCATCCTAAATGTCTTCCTGACCTCTCATAAGAGCAAGACTTACAGTTCTTTGAGAGATAGTAGTCAAGGTTCCCTTTGAGGTCTCTTGCCTCACCTAGCCATTAGGGGCCCTCCTCCCTTTATCCCCTGACAGGTAACATTAGCACTCTTGAGTATCCCCAGCAGTTCAGCTCTGTTGTGCCTGCTCTTACCAAACTTCTGAGAACTGTTTCACCAATTAAAAAAAAAATCACTTCAATTTGGAAAACTCTCCCTAAGGGTGTTGTTTTATGCCTGGATGTGTTTAGAAAGAAAGAAAAGAATGTTCCTTATATTTAGGACAGAATGGGCATTTTAAATAGAGAAAAGGTTAGAGATAATCCAAAGGAATAATAAGTAGCTAAGTTTTGGACAGGTATAGAAAAATGCCATGAAAGCTAACCTTTACTTAGAATCAAAATTTAAAAATTGTATGCTTACTTTTCTCAAAACATTTTCCCGAACTCAAGAATCCATGTCTCAAACCTAGCTTGGTGGCACATACCTGTAATCTCTAGCACTTAGAGGCTGAAGTAAGAAGATTTCAAGTTCTAGGCCAGCCTGGTGAAATACAGTGGGACTCTGTCTTAAAACAAAAACAAAACTCTCTCTATATAAAAATATAAAATAACCATTAAAATAAAAACATTTATGTCAGTTTCTGAAGATAATTACTATCAACATTCATTTATATATACATATATATATATATATATATATGTATATATATAAATTTTTTTTGGTCAGTCATGGGGTTTGAATTCTGGGCCTGGGTGCTGTCTCTGAGCTCTTAAGCTCAAG